AATTTAATAAGATGAGGAGATAAAAGTAGGGTTTTGCCTGTTTTCCTTGTCCACATCTGCCTGATGTTTATGCAAAATGGATTTCAATAATTATTTGCATGCATTTTTGCTTGCAATCTTCCCCAAGATACACGCTAAAACGCTAAGGGCCGGTTTGGTTGGGCTCAACATGGAAAGTTTTTGATTGAGTAGTTGTAAGTAGGCTCACACAATCTAGGGCAGCTTAAGAAATGTAAAATTTTCATACAAAGTTTAAGGTAAGATTGTAATTGATTATAGTGTGGTGGCAAGTGATTACTTGTCAATTTAACCAATTATGTGCAAATGCAATAGGTTACACAATTTAAAAGCACCACTTTACAAAATCGATCATTTAAGTTTAATGGTTTGTTCTCAAGTTTTAGTACTTAAGTTAGATTATTTGCACTTAACTTACAAATTTAGTCTACAGGTTATAAGTGTGTTATAGGTGTTTTTCACAATTTATGGGTTAGATCCATTTCCTTCATCTTTCCTCTAAAATTGTTCTTGTTTAAAAAAGAAAAAAAGCATCACTTTACCACATTTTTTCAGAGAGAAAAAAAAAAAATCAGGTAACATAAGTAATTGCTTTGCAAAGGCAATAACTTGAGTTTTGGTACTTTGGATTCAGAAAGTTATTTTCCTCACACGTGTACATTTTACAAAGCATAATTTCCTCAAAAAATTAATTCGAGTAAGAGATCCCAAACACCCCCTAAAACAAACTCTAGTGTAGATGCAACTCAAACAGGGTTAGGGTCAATTTTATAGAGAAGACTTCAGGTTGAAGGGAGAATTATCAGCTAATTAACAACTAAATCCCTAAGTTTTCTTTTCCAATTATATTCTTTTGACATTGTAATCTAATCACCAAAACTTTACTGATTAAAAAGTGATCAAATGGGTGTTACAAAAATCCTATTTTATTGTAATTAATCTCATTAATTAGAACAAATGAAAAGTAGTTCAGCAGACTCTTTCAAATAAAATAGAAGCACTAATTCACTTAAAAAGGTTGCCATGGATCACCACGACGATTTTTTTTAATTAAATATACTGTCATAGATCGATGCTGCATCGTTTTTT